GGAGGCAGCTGGGCGAGGCGCGGGTACAGGCGGCCAGCGGCGATGCAAGAGCCAGAGCAATAGCGGGTAGCGGCGGCGCAAGGCAGTGCAGCGGCGCTTGGGGCGGCAGTGGGCGACCATGGCCTCGCCTAGGAGAAGCGGCCGGGCGGAGCCACGGCGATCAGACGCACATGCAGGGGGAGGGCCGCGGTCTAGGGGCGCGGCAAGGTGTGTGGACGTCGTGGGATGGCGAAGGCGGGCGCGATACAGAAGCAGTGCCACTTCCATGGGAGGGAGGCAAGGCACGGGCGGGCGCGGGGACCATGACGCGGGGCACGGGCGGCGTGCACGTGCGAGACAGAGTGGGCGCGCGTGTGCGTGGGACGAGGCCACGGCCGTGAGCGCGTGCGCGAGGGAGACTGGAGGAGGAGGGGGAGCTCACGGCGGGTCGTAAGGGCACAGGCAGCGGGCCGTGGGGAGGACGACGGGGACGAGGCGACGGCGGAGAGGAGAAAAGGACGACGAGGCGATTATGAAGTAATTCACAACTTTGTAGAACTTGTACGATGTGGCCTCCGTCAAGATCCAAACAAACCAACAAAGTGTACTACATGTGAACCACATGTCCTGAGCAGCACTTACGTGAAACATTCCACTTCTTGTTTGGTGTAATGATTCCACAGGTTCGGTGTAACATGTACTCCTTCTGTTAAGAAATATCAGACCTTTTAGATCACTACTTATAGTGATATAAAAGGTCTTGTATTTCTAGGGAGTAATATATGTTTGTATTTACTATCATCTGGTTCAAACTCCCCATGTCGAACCCTAACAAAATGCAGGAAGAAGCATCCACGAAAGAGCTGCCATCATCATAGGGTTTCTTTCTAACACACCAAAAAACCTCCATTATGCTCCTAGAAAAGCTTGAATCATTCGGACGCGTTCCCTAACCCTAATCCCTAAACCGGTTGTTAGATAGATCCCCACATAGACAGATGATGATGAAGTTGGATGACATCCTGCTGCTGCCGCCGCAGTGGCAGTGCAATCTACTCTTTTCATGGGGAGGTCCCTCCCCTTCCCCCAATTTCCTTGGCCGGCAAAAAGGGCTACAGGGAAGCCAGCCCCAGCAGCCAGCAGGCCTGCGTGTGCCTGTGCCTGTGTGCTTGCTCGGGTACGCTGCACCTCCGTATCATCTCATCTCACCTCTCCTGCTGCGCAATGCATGCATCATCTCCTCACGTCTCATGATGCTTATGGCTTATTCCTTTCTCAATCTTCTCTTTTCCTTGTCACATGAATCTCACCCGAAACGGCTTATTTCCATTGGATCGGACAAAAACATCTCGGGCTCGTCTGCCTTTTCGGCAGAAGCATTTGAATTCACACGGAATTCCTTTTTGTTTTCCAGCTCGCACTTTCACAAAATAGTGACAGGGAGAAGAAAGAAAAGAAAAGGGAGGAGAGGGTGTGCATGATGCGAGGATAGGGGAGGTGGGCCCGGCTGTCCAGATCCGATTGACCAAATCATTTGGCAGCCCAAATGACCGGAGCACCCCCGGTGACGTCACCCCTGCCCCGCCCGTCTGCTTTTCTCCCGCTTTGGCCCCCTGACGCGGTGGGCCGGCTCCCTTTTTCAGGCCTGCCTTCCCGAAAACATCATCGACGCGTCCGGCTTTTCCTCTTTTCTTATCCTCTTTTTTTTCCTCCTCTCGCTCGTACTACTAGATGGTGATGAATGATGCGTGGCCCTCGGCCTCGGGGCGAGGAGGGGAGACGTACAGCAGTATTAGGCTGATGATGCATGCGCGCGCACATGCGGCTTGGTCTTTGCTCCTGCCGTGTCGCCTGTTGCATCGTCTTCCAACCGGCCACCTTGCCAATGTGATTGATAAAACAAAGAAAAAGTTCACCTCTCCATCTAGTAGTATATTTATTTCATCCGGAGGGAAAATGAAGGTCGATCCTAAAATGAGTTGGCCGGTGTGAAATTGAGTAAAAAAGAACAGAGTTGTTCGCGACGGGATTCACAATTCAAATCATGCTGCGGGAGGTTTGTTTGCATGGTCGTACCAGAAAACTTACCCAAACAAATGTTATTCAATGGCTTCTCGCGGCTGCAAGGAGCAGACAACCGTGCTACACACAATCATAACGTGCATATGCGTGCACGCAAGCACACTTACCACATGTTAAAATTGACGATGAGTGCATGAATCTCTTGAGATTTGACTAGTGGTTGGATGGTACCAAGTGTGATTATGCCCTTGACTCGCTAGAGGTCAGGCCTTAGATTTTGACATCCTGTGTCTTTTAAGTCCAAATATCTCATAGTAAGAGCATGTCTACACAGGGCGTCGCGGCGCGGCAGCTCGCCAGCGTGGGGTGCCTGCGTGTGTGATGCGGCAGCGTGGAGGACTTTGTGGCGGTGGCGACTTGGGGCGTCGGCCCTGGAAGGTGGTGGCAGGTGAAGTCTAGGCCTCTCACGATGGCATGGCATGGCGATGTCCCTGTCCATGGCGGATCTGCGCCAGCGATTTTGTGACTTTGGCTCCGGATTGGGTCGGATCAGCGACGGTGATGAGCGCAGGGGATTCCTCTCGGCGGCTCTTGTGGTTTGGCAAGGTGCGGTGGCGGCCCTCCTCCCAGGCTCGAGTGGTGGCACCCGCAGGGAGTGGACGGTGTGTCAGGGCTCCCATGCTGGCAGTGCTGTTGTGGATGGTTGCTGGATCTGGGTGGCCAGATCTGGGGCTTTGAAGGTGGTCTGAACAGTGCACATGTTGTCGGTTGGATATTCATGGGACAGATCCAGGTGAAAACCTGGTCTCCGGCTGGTGGTCGGAGCCGGTGATGGTGTCGCCCTTGGCGTCGTTTCCTTATTGAAGGCATCATCAAGGTGAAGCTCCCAACTCCTTCCGATACCGCCGGGGGAAACCCAAGATCAGTCGATCCGATGACGGCGGCGCACTTGTGTCCTTCCCTCCTTGAGGAGATCATTCTTGAAGGTGTGCATTGGCTTGAGAGACCAGTGGACGCCTGGACGGTTCCAGCGGTGGAGCGGCTTTCCATGTGACGCATCACCGACGTCGGGTCTCGGCGGCGTGGCGCGACACGGCCTCGGCGACGGATGTGTGATGATGGATGTGCGCAGGGAGGAGGCGTTGCCTGGCGCCGTGGGGGCGTCAACGGCAGGCCTTGCATGGTTGATGCGTTAGTACCTGCTCTGGAGATGGATCAGTGAAAGACGGCGGCGACGACCCCAAACCCAGTATGTGGCTTGGTTGGGGCCTCCGGCTTTAGATGTAGGCATTTGTGCGATGTCTGTTCGGTATTAGGCTCGGACTATCGACACCCCCTCATCAAGTGGATAGGAGTAGCGATAGATGTTGCTAAGATGGTGGCTTCAGACTACCTGATGTACTACTTTGTAAGGTCTTTGTGAATAATTAATAAAATGGTTGCCTGCATCTCCCAGATGCAGACCGGGGGTCATCCTCTTTTTCAAAAAAAAAATCAGTTTTACCATCCTAGCTACCAAGTAGAGTAAATCCAAAACTTTTCGGTGATGTTCATATCATGGGAGGAGACGTTTTCGTTGATTACGAGACATCTATGAGGTGGTTCTCTTGTTCCCATCCAACGTTCGGCCAATGATTGACATGAAAATGTACAGGGCATTAACGCCGCATTTGGCAATGATCTTGACAATGGCCAAATCCTTGGAGCTATTAAAAAACTCACAGGTTAGGCGAGACACAAGCCAAAAAAACCTTATTGTGCATGATGTCACATGCAGATGATAGGGTTTACATTTTGTTTTTAAAGTTTATGTCCAAGAGCATCCACATCACTAGCTTAGCTTTTTAATCTGAGGGCTCCTTTGATTCAAAGGAATTCTATAGGATTTCTGAAGGATTGAAACCCTTAAGAATTTTTCCTATGTTGGTCCTTTGATTCGTAGGATTGGATCCCATAGGAATTTTTCCTATGAAATCTTTTGTACTACATTTCATAGGAAATCTAACATCTACTCCAACCTCTTTTTACAATTTCTTTGCTTTTTCTGGGCCATCAAACACTCCATGCTAATTCCATGCTAATCCTGTAGGATTCATGTGTGCATGCCACTCCAACCCTATACTTTTCCTATTCCTACGTTTTGAAAATCCTGCGAATCAAAGAGGGCCCGAGCGTAACTTCTCATATTCCTTACCACCCATGCTATCCAATCTTTCTCACTTCTAGCTTCTAGGAACATAAATGCTCTTACATCGACAGGTAGGGATATTTTTCAGGTAACAGGACAACGACGGCATCGTACACACATAGACTGATAAACACGTCCAGTCACGTTCTTTCTTTCTGACAGTACGAATCATCGTGGCCATCCAGAGTGCAGAGAAGAAGTTCCCGGTTGCCCCTTACGTGTCGACCCAACGATCGGGTTGCACGAAACAGTTGGGAGATGGACGAACATAGTTTGACAAAACCCTATGGATTTGATGTGAGAACCGACGACACGATCCACTATTCAGATGAATCAGTAGAAGCATACTAGCATCCACAGTAGGCAGCAATATCTGGATCTGTACATCCTCACATTCACGTTGATGATACGGATGATGAAGAAATTCTCGTCAAAATAAAAAATCAGTGTCTCGACGTTCAGACTGAGCCTGGGCTGCCAAAATAGTGACCTCTAACCTCATTCATTTGTATTACAATAGTTACCCTAATGAGAAACCATGCAGAATTTACAACACTTAAAACTAACACTAGAGAGTAAACCTGTGAAATCAACTGATTAGTAGGCAATCTCCAAGTAAATATAAAACCCAACAGATCTCCAAACAAGTATGACGGTCTGAACAACGACTGTGTTAGATTTAGCAGCATGTGCCTGCCTGCTGCCGGAAAAAACTGCTTCAGAAGTGAACTTGAACTTCGCTGTATGTGATTATTTCATCTCAAGCTCCAATGAATAGTTTTGTCATCTCATGATCTTATCACCCCTCGTGTTACCTTCTGCGTTTCGACTTTGACAGTATTGCTGATAGTCTTTCTTTTGCAGTGGTGAAACCTGTGGGCTGCTTCCGAGAGCCCCTCTTCCTTTTCCTTCTTCCCGTTCTGCCTGCAAGACGCTGGCGGCGTATCTCAGGATCTGCCCAACCCCTGCCCCACTCCGAGGAGGAAGAGAAGGACTTTGGGTTACTAATCGCCAGTAATGTAGCGGCATCAGGGTATGCATATAAGCCTTCCTCGTCTGGTTGTAAACTCAGAAAATTTAATCCAGCTCTTGTCAGCTCTGGATGCTGGATTAGAACACGAGGCTGCAAGAGGGTCCATTAATCAGCTGTGATAAACGCAAACTGATGTCTAGCAAATAAACTAATGAATGACTGTGCCACAACAGCTCAGGGTGGCATAATAAAGTACCAACAAATAAGTAATGCAGTGTTAAACCATAACAAATTCGACATAAATTATGGCACTAACATTTACTATATTCCTTGCATCACATAGGTTTGCCGTGTTTTCAAGATTAGAATTAATGCAGCATAATTCTATCCTGAATTGCGTACTGAAGGGCTGAAAGAAAAATAATAATAGAACAAAGTGCGCAGACAAGCTTGTGAGATGACTGGAAAATGGTACCAGGAGTATTTTCTTAGCCTTTTAGTTCACCTTCAATAGTGTTTTACATACCAGGTAGCATCACTGATATGATGTAGCCTGTCACCTGGCATCAAGCGTTACACGGTATGGTGGTACTCCCTCCGTCCCAAAATAAGTGTTTCAACTTTGTGCTAACTTTAGTACAAAGTTGTACTAAGGTTGAGACACTTATTTTGGGACGGAGGGGGTATTGATATATGACAGTGAATCTAGAAGTTAAGTTATGTACTCGCTAATGTACTAGTGTGAATCTGTTGTCAGTAAGAGTTCTGCTATCGCTATACCAGTGCGCAGACTTGATCTCAGATACCAGCAAAATGTTTCCTTGTTATGGTCGTGAAATGAATAATTGAAATTAATGGAATCACTACATCTGTAAGCAAAAAGATCTGAAGTACACAAAAGAGAAACCAAATTAGAGGCTTCGAGCTGTAGCCTTTCGGATAAAAATGGTAAACCAAGACGGTGGCACCTGATCTAATTATGGTGAACAAGGACGTACAAAACGAATATTAGTAATCTCTGAGCATCCGCATACTGTGCCACGAAAGGTTAAAAATACCCTTTTCTTGTTACCAGAAGGATAAACATAGATATGGTACTGTGGGTATGGCATATCAGATACCCACCCCAACTTTAACATCCAAAGAATGGAAGACCACCAGGTGGTCTTGTAAAGAATGCAGAAAAGAAGTGCAAATCGAGATTCTGTTTATGCACAATCAGAATATGTCATGCATTCTCCATTACCTTAAGATTCATGAAATAGGTAACGACAAGTTACTGCATCATAGATTTACTGGGCTTACTATGAAATATTACTTTATTTTTTTGCGAGTAACTATGAAATATTATTGGTGGTATTGCATTCAGGTGGTAAATGAACCCAAGTGAACTGAAGTTACTTGACATATCATAAAAGTGATATGCTAGCTTAAGATTCTACTGTGGACTGTGGTTGGTTGGCAATGAAATCCGCCAGCAGCCTATAATTGGTCTCCATTGGTGATTAAATAAAAAGGGCAGCCCGGTGCATGTAACTCCCACTTGCGCAGAGTCCGGGTAAGGGTCCGACTATTGGTGATTAAATAAATAAATAAATTGGCATGTTCTTGTTTCCGAAATTTAACATATTTTGGGTTTAAAATTAGTAACTGGTCATTTGGTAACATGCTAATTTGGGTGATAATCAATGACAAATGACAGGCTACTTTTTAGGATTTTAATATCTGAGCTCATTAGATCTAAAGTGATTGAATGCAATGTGCAGATGGTAGTTCCCTAGAGATGAAGGATAATTTTTTTTGTCAGTAATGTTACTAGCTTAGTTAACACTTAAATATGTCGATGGTGTGTAGCACTGTAGCATCCTTGAAATATGTCTGACTTTCACTTGAACAATCAAGAAACTGATTTAACATGACCAGGTAAATCACTTGCCCGCAAGCAAACATGTGTCCAACATCATGTCAAAAAGAACTTTTCGCTATTACTATTTCAATCTTAGTTTGCCCATCACGTGAATGCAACAAATCTAAAAGTGAGGCACAATGGAGTAACATCAATTTGTTTTTTAGGGAAGGAGTAGGGAGACAACCTCATCATGTAAGCATTGCAACATTCACACCAGTAATAAATTACTACTGCATCAAACTACTGAAATAAATTGCTTACAATTTCAGCTGCTTCCTGTATGTATCCCATGTCCTCTAAAATACGAGCAAGCCCTTGCCACCATATCTTGTCTGTCATGGCAAACCTAGGAATCTAAAACTAAATATTAGTCATGAGAACAGATTTGAGGACTGGAATTTTTAAACTTGTACGAATGGAAGTGAAAAGTGAAAGATAATTTAAGTACTTGTGTTGCGCATGCATGGTGAAGCTTAAGACAAGAAGTCTTTGTTTAGCGCTCCCAGTTTGAAAAAAAAAATAGATGAAGAAATGCATTAGAACACAAACCTTCTCTCTTATATAACTGACTGCCATTCTGAAATCAGGCACCGCCCCAATATTTCGCCTTCCAGATGTATAACAGTCTGTACTGTTGTAGTCCATGCCTTCAGTTGCCTGTCCCTGGATGCATGTTAAAGATTACTCAAAGTACCAACAGTATCAAATGTTCAAAGGTACTAGCAAAATATAAGTCAAAATTACATTGCAAAGACCAAAATCATCCCAATTCCTTGTCCTATACATTTTCCTATACAGGGACATCCCATGGGAAGGTACTGTGGATAAACTATGTAAAGAAAAACAGGGGAAAATATGGACATTCTTGCATCTTACATTTGTAACATGTTGTCACGACCTAGGTTATGGAGGGGATGATCGTGGGTGTTAGGAGGGCAAGGGCGAGAAAGTTTAGGCTTGGGTGCCATGATCCTTTGGGTGATAGATCTGTTCTGGGGGTAAACCCTCCCCTTTTCTCTGTTTATTTCGTTGACAGCTGATTACACCCTAATTGCCTAGCTTTATAGCACAGGCTTTGTCGTTGTTGCTATAGCACAGCTTGGCGGTAGTTTAGGAAAGATATGAACCAGCTCAAACTAGGAAAGATCTACACAGATTCTGAATTAACCCAACTAGACTTGGAAACCAATAAAGACCTATAGGCTGGGTCCAGGATTCCATGGAGTCACACATATGTCTATATATCCACTGCTTAGCCAGGCTAGCTATAGACTAATGTAAATAAATCCCTCCATGAAAGTTCCTTGCCCAACAGAAATAAAAAATGACACCACCGCTGATATGCAAACCAGTTCTAATAATAAAAATAACTCTGGTATCCCTTTAACACTAAGTTTGTAAGTCAAAAGCATCAGAAAAGTAGACCCTGACACTACCACAATGGAATGGGATTATAAGATCTGTGGTAAATCATGCATAATTTGATCCCATTTGTGCTTTTCTTTATTGAAAATGTATCACTAGAGCAAGCAACTTAATACACTTCCTCAACTACTGAATTAGTATGTCATATTCCTTAAGACAGGAGGGTGGTGAGACCACACCTTTCTGTTGAAACAGAATCTCTTGTTTGAACTATCAAGGGAGAATGATCACAAACCTCTAAAGATGGTAAAACAGAAAACAGAAACCTTTATATGCTACTGAGATATTAGAGTGGATACAATTGTAATAGACATCGCATTTATCAGCTGTTCAGCACTAGAGTAGGATATGGACATATGTTAGGTACTCACAGCTTGAGCTTGGAGCACATTCATGAACACAACTGCTTCTTCCTTGAAATCATGCATTTCAGGAGGGCCATTAATACAGACGTCACACCTGAGGTGAAAACCAAGTCAGATAGACACTCACATAACTACTGGTTGAAATAAAGTTAAAATGAGGAATTTAATTCGTGCCACAGACGAAAATGTAAGTTTTAAAGAGATCCTTGTTGAATCACTGACATCTAGGCCTGAGCCCCACATGTCCCTGTCAAGGAAAGTGGTAGTTCTTGGACTTTATTTTTATTAGAAGAATGCCTGATACAAGTAATCTAGGCTGCAGACGGCTTTAACTTCTGTTTAAAGTCAAACTTTCTTAAGTTTGAACAAGTTAACAGAAAAATAACATCTACTGTACCAAATAAATACAATGTTAATACATATATTCTTAATAGATTGATTTGGTATTGTAGATGTTGATGTTTCTTTTCTGTAAACATGGTCAAATTTAATAAGGTTGACTTCATACAAAAGTTAAATGACTTGTCTTTTAGGAACAAGGGAGTAGTATCTTTTATTTCTAAATTATACCATATAGTACTACTAAATACCCACGAAACTGGAAGAAGCATGTGCTTATTTCATTTAAATAAGGGGAAGATGCATGGAGAAAGTAGAAAAGTACATTTCGCATCCGTCGGAACCAAATTCCTCACCAAAGTACTTTACTAGTATTTTGGCTCTACATGTTGAAGTGTTCAAAGCATAGCTGCAATATAGAAAATTTACATAGCGATTAAGTCACGAGAATTAATGAATATACGTTTTAGGCCATCGCCAGGGTTTGAATTTATGGTTCTGAGACATACTGAAAGCAATCCCGTAGCATTCTATATGCTGCCCTTGTCTGTTCGTCGCTTCTTTTGTTAGGAAGCAGTGTCGGTGTTCTCATGGAATTACAATATAAAGCTGCCAATAAATAAACAATGTAAAGAAACAAGTGAAATTGTGCAGAGAGGAATAAAGCAAGCTTCATAACTAAGGATAAAAATAGTGCTTGATACCAAAAGCTTTGGGGTCCAATATGTACTTTATATTAGACAAATACACAACAATGAACTTTTCGCGTGAAGGCCCACTAAAATCTACTGACAGTAATATTGCTTTATAATAATTTAACATCCTTTGCTTTGACAAAAAAAAAGATCCAAGCCAATAAAAAATCAGGATTGGCAGTCGACAGTCGGACCGGCTGAACCACTAGTTGAACAACCAAACTGGTGAATCAATTCATGTCCAGTTCACTCACCATCCCGGATTTTAGAACTGGTTGCAAGTAAGGATATACAATACATATAAATACTCTCTAGTTAGCACATGATTCATCATTTTCTTCATTGCGTCCAGAAACAAGCTAAACAACATTACAGCAAGTATGAAGTATAAGAACTCACTGCAATCTGACAACTTTCCATCTCTACCAGCACGACCAGCTTCTTGATAATACGCTTCCAAACTCTGGATAACAAGGGCCAAGAGAACTTCAGACACAAAGAATAAACACAACCAAAAGTTAACACTTCTGAAAAAAAAAGTTAACCCAACTTGGATGTATTTGAACTAGCGAAAGAGAGTAATTAAATTAGTCTTTCTGCATGATATTAGATTGTTAGGTCAGTAATCAACCTGGGACTGATTTTTCAGTGTTGTGGTTCACTAACCAATCAGCGGTTGTAAATTTCAAGCTTGGCATGCCGACATGCGACATATATGTTAATACGTATAAGCTCTAAATGACTTGTTCTGCCTAACATCCACACTATCAGAGCTTGTCGCCAAAAAAAAGCACTATCAGAGCAGGTCTTTGGATGCATATGACATATGAGCCTTCTAGGTATTTGTTAGTGATAACATTTTTCTGTGTATATCAGAAGTCCAGAACAACAAAGTCATGCATTTTTCACAGAGACATACACGCATGTCGAGAGCAAAATAGTGTTCAGAAGGTACTACACCACTGGAGGCCAAACTAACCTGCGGTAAACCGTAGTGAATAATTCTTCTGACATTTGATTTGTCGATTCCCATGCCAAATGCTATAGTAGCCACAACAACCTGTATAAAGAGGATTAGGTCATTAGAAATAGGCCACAGAGGACTGAAGGGTTCAGCAAAGTTTGAGAGACTGAAGGAAATTATTTGGTGTGCAGGGAACCAGCATTCACTTTTGGCATAAGTGCATGATAGGGTTTTTGTTAGAGTACGTAATGGGCCTAATGGGCCCATTAGTCTTAGGGTTAATTAGAGATAAGGGTCGTTTGCTTAGGGGTCAAGTAAGCCTTGCTTGAGAGTCAAGTAAACCTCTCTATATAAAGAGAGGAGATGTATCAATCTAATCAAGCAAGAATTAAGAAGGAAATCCCTTCCCTCTTGCACGGCCGTGGGCAAAAAGGCCCCCGGCCGGCCCTCTCGCGCCCTCCTTCTAGCAGCGCCATAACAATTTGGTATCAGTTAGCTTCGGTTCGATCATGTCTTCACCGCCGCCAAGTCCGTCTCTTCCGCTGTCAGTCACCATGTCGCCCCCGACGACCACCATGACCGTCGCCTCGCTCCTGCCCGCGCCGGGATCCTCCATCGCGCCCGCCCCCACCGTCCTCACCTGGGAAGAGGTGTCCGGGGTGCTGCGGGACCTAACCCAGATGGTCCAAGAGATCCACATGTTCTTGGCCGGGTCCTACAGGCCGCACCCGGTTGCGCCGCCCATCGCCGCCCCCGCGCCGCCGTGGCTGCCGTGGCAGCCGCCGCACCAGGCGGCCTTCGCCGCGCTCGCCGGGCCGCTGCAGCTGCCATACATCGCCACCACCACCCAGCCCTGGCTACAGTGGCAGCCACCGCTCTTGTCGGCCTCCGCCGCAGCTGCTGCTGCCGCTCAGCTCCGCCGCCCAGTATGGGATGCCCTACAACGGGACTGCGACGACCTCGTTCCCATCAGCGCCGCCGCCATCCCAGGGCGTCCACATCCAGCAGATCAAGTCCCCGCCGTCGCCGTCACCGCTTCTGTCTTGGATCGCTACCCGCCACGTGTCGGCGGCGGTGAGGCTGCAGGCTGCTGCGCGCGGCCTCCTAGCGCGTCGGCGTGTGTGGGAGATGCGTGGTCTACAGTTGCCGCTCCTCCAAGTTGCCCTTCGTTGCGCAAAGGACCTCAATCTCGTCCGTTGCGTCGGGGATCTTGGGCAATGCGGTTTCCCCCACGGGCGGCGGACATGCTGTTTTCCCCGCGGGCAGTGACCTCAAAGTCCGCGACATCAGCGGTTGGGGGGGCGCACCCCTCCTCGTCATTCTCCATCGCAAGCCCTCCACTCTTCCCTGTGCGGTGCAGACCAACAGCCATACACATGCACTCCTTTTGTCCAGGTGGTGTCCATGGGATCCAGGTGGCTGTACACGTGCACGTCCAAAATAAAGCGTCCTAGTCTATTTCAGGTTGAAAATAATAAAACAAGCCGAGATGTAAAAGGCTTGTTTTTAGGTGTTAGGTTTGTGTTGCGTCGAGTCATGGTTATAAGTTGGTTAGGCTGCAGCTCGAGGACAAGCTGCATGTCCAGGTGGGGTGTAGTGTTAGAGTATGTAATGGGCCTAATGGGCCCATTAGTCTTAGGGTTAATTAGAGATAAGGGTCGTTTGCTTAGGGGTCAAGTAAGCCTTGCTTGAGAGTCAAGTAAACCTCTCTATATAAAGAGAGGAGATGTATCAATCTAATCAAGCAAGAATTAAGAAGGAAATCCCTTCCCTCTTCCCCGGCCGTGGGCAAAAAGGCCCCCGGCCAGCCTTCTCGCGCCCTCCTTCTAGCAGCGCCATAACAGTTTTAGAGTTTAAATAGGAAATTTGATGATGTATTGCACACAGAGTTATGAAAACTTGGAAAATTGGGAGACCAGATTCATCCCTGATATGGATAGTGCAAGAAATGATAAAATATTGATAACATGAGAAGGTTTCAGTTAATAATTAAGTAATCCCTCCATTCCTACATATAAGACCTTTTAGAGATTCCATTATGAACTACATACAGATGTATATAGACATATTTTAGAGTGTAGATTCACTCATTTTGCTCCGTATGTAGTCCATAGTGGATTCTCTAAAAGGTCTTATATTTAGGAACGGAGGAAGTATAATACAGAAAAAAAAAACGAGGCCAACAGTTATTAACAAGAAACAACTGAGGCACACACCAAGCAGAGCCCAAGGCTTGAACGGGGGTGGAGGACTGGAGGGCTGGGCGTGTGCCGGCCGCACCCCACTAGTTAACTGCTCGATGCCCAGTTCCAAGTATAGTAAAGCATGAGACATGTAATATCAAGATTCAGGAGATTTATCACTTTAGTTGAAGCCATTTTCTCAAGGGCTTGGCATAACACTAAAGAATGTTAATAACATGGGATATATCTAATATATAGTTTTGTTGGGATTTATAAAGTGGCCATTTGTGCTGAACGAGAATTGTAGAGAAAGAAGTGCCATCAAGTATCAATACATTAGAAATTTTGCATCTTATATCAGTTATAAGTCCCAATATGTGAATGGGAACCAAGTCAGACTTATGGAAGTATGAACCGTTATCACTTTGAGATGTACAAAATGGGAAATCCTAAGCCCCTTATCAACGATGCTATCTCAAAATAAATATGCACAACAGCAGTTGGGCACAGAGTAACTGCATCTATAAATGGAAGAGAGCAACCTTCCATAGCATATTCCAGTCATGTATGAAATTAAAAATATGAAGATATTTATGGTTACCTCTAAGGCATTGCTATGGAACTGCTCGTGCACCAGCCTCAAATGTGATCTAGGCATCTGGAAAGAATTGTCAGATAGCTTCAAAAAAAGGCACAGGTCTACATATATTAAGAGAACAGATAATATGTCTGCAGTCTGCAAACATTTAAGCTGTTCTCTTATACAAAAGTAGCATGTTCCAGTAGGTGGTGCCAACCTTTGCATTATACGCTGCAGCTTTGAGGCCTGATTTGCCCAGATAGTTAGCCAGTTCCACAGTTCCTTTCCTCGTGGGTACATAAACAATTGTAGGACCTTGATCCAAACTTTCTGATGAGCTAGTTTCAACGGATTGAACAGGAAATGCAAAGCTCTCAGGTCGCGAGCTTTCAAGGAACTCTCCACATGAAACTGTAAGAGAAACTCAACTGTCAGTCAGAAGCATACATTAGACTACACAAAGATGAATAAATATCTTCAAAAACACTATTAGCATGTATCCTATGAAGCATCAATAATCATACCGAGGTTAGAAGCTGGGTTTCAAAGAAGATATTACGTTCTTAAAAACTTCTTATACAGCTCCTTCAAAAAATGTGAACTAAGTTCAAAAGTAAGGTCAGCAGTTTGTTTTCTTTAAGTAAATGAAGCAATACAACATCCTCTAAAAAACAAGTAGTCCTATAACTGTTAACAGATGTCTCGTTAATTACCATCAAAATCATCTACTCCTGGATACTGATCCAGCTCATGTTCAGCATTTTCTTTTACGAAAGACTTGGCAAGTTCAGTTTTATCAGAAATTGCATCTTCGTCATCTGATGCACTATCGTCTAGTGACTCGTATGAGCTGCTTTCAGACTCAGGCTCAACTTCATGAAGAATTTTCTGGCTTTTCCCCCTGAAATTCCTTGAAGCGTTGTAAGTCCCTATTAGTTCTTGAAAGTCCTTTCCATATGATGAGGCAGAGGTTTTACTGTGCTTTACCTACAACCAGAAACAGGGGGGTGCATGAGACAATCGGCAGGAAGCTTTAAAAGACTGCAATTCACCTGTGTAGCTCCAACTATCCACCACTCCAAAGGAAAGAATAGTTAAATTACAGGAAATGAAGGTATTTGGATCCTAGTAAGACATTTAAGCTAATGCACATTCAGATGTCCATCTATGGCTATGCACACCAAACCATTTGTTATTAGATATACCAACACAATTTTACATCCCAACCATTCAACTCCTCTTGCATGTATTTTAGTGGTTAATAAGATCAAGGGGATTCCAACTCTACAGCTTGACACACCATACCACAATGTAATCCTCTGGACAGAACATGAAAAAATAAAAAGATTTACTCACATTAAATCGAAGGTTTGGTCGGAAAAAGGACGTCAAGACAACCACTGTATGTCCTGACATTTTCAAGGACTTAAGAATGTCTTCTCGTACCGGGAGAGTTGCAGTAGCAGTCAATGCCATCAAAGGAATATCATGTTCCAAGAACTTCAATTTGCTGGAACAGAAATTTTGTCGAAGCACAGATAGTTTCCTGTAGGTGAGAGATAATTGTTTACTTAAGTACTAGAGCTGTAAAACACTGCAAGAACATAGAAGAGTGTGGTTGGTTCTTAAGTACCAACCCAAATATTATCTCACTGATGTGCAAGTCACAAACTAACAAGTAATGATGAAAAACAGTGCTAGATACTGATTTGCACCTTCAATATAGGGTACTGAATACAAGAGCAGACCTATAGTCGGGTCGGAAATCGTGACCCCATTTAGAAACACAATGAACCTCGTCAATGGCAAAAAGTGCAATCCCTGGTTTTTCTGCAAGTTTCTTCAATGGTTCCATCAGTCTGCATGTAAAGAACTTGCCGAGTAAGCATGGCAACCGATGAATCAATTTTAGCAATCAAAAGCAGAATGATTACCTTAAAACTGTCTCGGGGCAAACATAAATAATCTTATACATGCCAGCCATCGCTTTGCCCTCAACACGATTATCTGGTTGCCCTGATCCAAGGAAGCATGCCGATATCCCATGTTTTGCAAGTTTTAGGCACTGGTCGTGCATCAGACTAATCAAGGGTGAGATCACCACCACAACCTTCGTAGTCAAAAGAGCTGGAATCTGAAAGCAAAGGGACTTCCCTGCCAACATGGTCATTTTCACATCATTCATTTTATTACAGGTGCCTCAAACCTTGCATAACAATATAGAGAATGCATAATAATAAACTACCTGATCCAGTTGCTGCTAGAACAAGACAATCCTTGTGAGCAAACCAAGCATCCAAGGCTTCCTTTTGGAAATTCTTCACACAGGAGAATCCAAAATGCTTTTGCAAAATAGCACTAATTTTGTCGGTCCGGTCAAACTCGCCTCTAGGATCATCAACCAAAATCTGATGTTCAGGCTTTGGTTTTAAACAGATAGCAGCAGTTGATGCAGGGTTCATGTTGGCCGCTAAACAAGAATATGAGGTACTTGGCTCCTCGCCACAAGACTCGGTTTTACTGCCAGTGGTTGACGCGATATGATCAGTAATGCTAGACTGCTTCAATTTCCCCCTGGGATTAGCCAGTCTAGCACTCCTGTCAGAAGAGCGTCTTTGTGACCCCCCACCTGACTTTCTTTGTACACTACCAGAACCATTCAGCACAAACTCCACCACGTCAGCACGGCATGGACCGACAACCCCAATGGCTTCGCTGATCTTGTCGAACTCAAACCCCATCTCAAGCAACTCGGCAATGACATGATCAGCAGATACATCAGTGCCGACAGAATTGGCATCCATGATCAGAACCAGTGAGCTGCGCTTGCAAGCCAAGCTCGGTGCTCACTAGCTGAAGAACAACAGATCCTTGTGGTCGGGGCTCGGCGTTAAGCTGCACGACGGTGGATACCTAGCCCCGAAATCTGCACCGGTACGCCTGGGTTGACCTGTCAATAAAACAGAACGCGGCGGCGATTAATTTCCATGCAATTGCTTGGCGCTGCCCCTAATTCCGGTTTACTTGGGCGAGGGAGAGCAGTCACCGTACGCGGGGTTCTCGGTTCGAACTAAAACCGAATTGGGTGGAGCGGGTAGGGTCGGATCGAACAGGGCGGGACCGGCGAGAAGAAATGGCGAGGATTTACCTGTGGAATCGGGCTCCTCGCTGCAGGATCCCCAATTCGTTCCGCGCCCTCCGCCTCACGCCGCCGCCGCCCTCTGCTCGCAGCTCCGGAGAGGGAGGGGAATGGGATGGCGAGGGTTTTGGTTTCGAATCGCGGGAGAGAGTGCGGCAGAAGCCTGGAGTTTCGTTCGAGGGCCGTGGCTGGCATGTGGGACTGGGACCAACGGGACGGCGCGCGAGCGAGGGAAACACACGATTCCGATTAGACACACGAGCGGGCCGGGCTGGGTTTAGGCCAGGCTTGCAAAACATGACCTCAAATGACACGTCTGGGCCTCGCACAGCCGACGCCCAGAAAAGTGTGAAGTCACATGTAAACCTGAGAATAGTTTGGACTGAGACCATAGTTTCAGATCGGTTTTCCTATTGGTCTCTGTTGGTTTGGATTAAATGGGCTAAGCTCCTGACGTAAACTGATTTGGTTTGGGCTTTCCCTATTAGCGGTTTGGTCTGGTTCGGTCTGGTGAGAGACCAAATGGTCTTAAACCGTTTTAACCCATGGACCGAGAACTAAATCATGGACCAGCTTCCTTCGAGCGGCTAGGTTAGGGTCCCGATCAAAGCAAGCACGCATTTGCAACGTCTTCCCCGTCGTCTCCACTGCTGGTGCCGACGATGCTTCCTGTCGCCTACTACGCTACGGCCACGGCCAGCCGCTCCTCCTCGGCGATATGGGGCCTTGCGCAGTGACGCAATGACATCCCGCGGCAGGACTGCGCGCTCTGCGTGGCCGCGACGGTGCGGATATGGGCTGCACACTCAGCCTTCTCAACACCGAAGGCCAGAACGACACCGGCATGGACCTGCCACGTTCAACCGAGCGCAGGGAAGCTCATGTTCATGTCCAACAACGTGACGACAGTGCGAACAAGGGGCCGGCGACGGACACAGCGCAGCTCGTCGGACAGCTGCGACGAACACGGCGCAGCTCGACGGACGGCGGCGGAGCCAAGACAACCATCTGGGGGCTTGGGTGGTGCACCACAGCACCAGGAACATCACGGCGGCGAACTGCGGGCTGTGTGTGTTGGAATTTGCTAGTGGGCTTTTGGCCCAAAGCCCAACTAAATTTCTGAAATTCTCTTGGCCCATTCATGCACACATGTGAGTGGAGTGAGTGAGGCTAAAGTTTAGTCCCACCTCATAAGTTGAGAGAGAGTTGCACCTCTTTATAAGGTGAGCTCTCCTACCACTTGTATGAGCATGAGAAGAGGAGATCTACACGCGCGCTCCTCCTCCTCGCTTGCCTCGCCGCGCCGCGCCGCGGGTTGCGGGATTGAGCCGAGCCGAGGACAGAGCTATGCATGTTGTCTATATTTTTGCTGCTCGGGGAAAATTAATGAGTCATTAATTAATAATTAACGGACGCGTTAATTACTGAACCGTTTCCGATTCTTTTGGATTGTGACGACTCGGACGTGGGGTTTACTCCCACAACCTACCCGGCCAGCACTATATAGTCAGGCAGACGTCTACCCTAGCCGAGGCCGCTTCGTATGGTTTCTCACCACCGTTCCAGATCATTGCGCCGCCAAGCAAGTCTTCTCCATCCCTCCTTTCGGCGTGCACCGGGAGAAGGGACAGCAGGCCTCCGGAACCCCGCCTCTCGTGATCCTGTACGGGAGAAGGGTGATCAGGTTTTTGGGGAGCGCACTCGCGCGACTGCTGGCAGCGACGACTTCGCAAACGACGACTTTTTCCCCGACCTCGGCAACCTCATCCTCGACGACATGGGCGACAACGTCAACGCCGGCGGTGCTGCTCCCGCTGGTAGAATTCATGTTCGAGATCGTGGTAGAATTCATGTTTCTAGTATGTGCCCTAGATGTGATCCGTTCATCTACTATGCTAGTTCGCATGATTAGTTCAATCTCTGCTACTGTAGTCATGATTTATCTTCTGTTAATTCGGATTAAATCTCGTAGTAATTTGTTCATATTTTCAACAGTGTGTGGTGCAGGTTGTGGCCGAGTTGCCCAACTACTGCTGAACCGTGTGATATACAACAGTTACATGGCGCCCTACGAGGTATAGCCTTTTTCCCGCTCGACGGCGCCGGCGAGTTGCCCGACGAGGCCGAACACTGCGAACAAGATCGTCTTAATCCGTGATGGATGGAGTGCAGCTAGTCAACTACAATGTTAGTATCTAGCATTATAGCTTGTTCTATGTACATATGTTGTGGTGGTTAGTAACATGCAGGAGCAGCTAATCACCCTTCCAACGCCTCTCTTCCCATAGTAATCTGACACAGGCACGCCCTTGGTTTGAAACTTCAGGTTGAAACTGTTTGTGGGGAATGGTTCGGATGGTTTTGGCTCGAAAATACATGCAGTTTGGATTGGTTTGGATTATAGCATTTGCTAGTTAGTCTGGTCTGGTTTGGTTGTTGGACTTATACCTGTATGGATTGGGCTGGGTTTAATCTGGATTACAAACTATTCACAGGTTTAGTCACATGCTATAGCGTGCCCTTATAAATGTCACTCTTAATCTTCTTTTGTGGTGACGTAGATAATTTGCCTTTGCGTTGCAACGGGAGTATAAATATTTATTCTAGTAGGCTATCCATGATTGAACATCTTTTACTCCCTTCGTATCAAAATATAAGACCAGGTTTTCTCCAAAAAAAGACGATATAAGACGTTTTTGTAGTTTGTTTAACCTAAAAAAGTCTTATATTTTGATACAGAGATAGTATTACATTCGTCCGCTAAAATCTTCGTAAGTTTTTTGTATGCAGTTGCCATGATTTACCATCCTATTATTAAACACTTACTCCTCCTGTTCCATAATATAGCGCGTATAGATTTTTTTTTTAAAGTCAAACTTTTATAAATTTTAACCAAGTTCATTGAGAAAACAATTTATAACTACAAGACCAAAAATATAAAATCTGAAACTACATCTTATGAAAAAATTAATAATATATATTTGGCATTCTAGATGTAAATAGGTTTCTCCACAAACTTGGTCAAAGTTTGTGAGCTTTGACTTTTTAAAAAGTCTATATGCACTACATCATGGAACAGGGGGAGTATTTGATAAGAATTTATTGACTTATCAAAAAAATACTCCCTTTGTAAAAAAAACATAAGATGTTGTAGAGACTTATTTACAGAGGTTGTGTTATTTAGGAGAATTATCAAAGAGGGGAGAGGGAATGCCATCTTATTGTTAAGCACTTATTTGGTAAGAATTTATTAACTTACCAAAGAATAATATTATTCAGGAGAAAATTCAAAGATGAGAGGAAAAAACCAAACATGAGAAGGGAAGGGGAGAAAATTCAAAGATGAGAGGAAAAAACCAAACACGAGAGAGAGAGAGAGAGAGGTTGGACGAAGGAGAGAGTGAAACGGAAACCTTATGTTTTTTAAGTAGTATATATGTAGAGATAGAGATTAATTAGTAGAGCTAAGTGGCTCGCTGGATGCGTGACACTTGTCACAATCTGAGAGTTTTGTGTTTTCTCATTCATTCATTTCTTTTAAATATTTTATCTCTTGAACCATGTGTCCATATCACGAACCGTTTCCAATGTTTATGTTTCTCGTGTCGAGATTTTAGAAACTAAATCACATGTTAGTATGTTTAAACAAACCCTTTCCTCCAAAACACCTCAAAAAGATGAAAAAATTTAAAAACTAAAACCAGAAAGAAAACGAGACCTAGAAAATAATCAAAAGCACAACTATGATTTTTTTTTCTTTTTTTGGAAGCACTGCCATGCTTTCTTGCGGAAGCACAAGCACAGTTGTGCTATTCCGTGAAGCAAAACTTGAAGAACCGGGAAATTGAAGAACCGAAAACAACAGAAGGTTTATGATGAAGCCGGATGATCTGGGTCCACCCGGATGATCCGGGAGGAGTCCGAACAATCCGGGTAGAAGTCCGGACGTCCGGACAACTTTTTCTGCTACAGACTTTAGAAAAACGGCCCTAAACACCCACTTGAAGGCCTCAGATTGAAAAGTATTCAACATGAAAGTTGTGTGTCTCGTCGAGACGGTTGATTTTGATATAAAATTCGTCAATATGCGAGGTCGTATGTGGATTCTAGATTCAAAACTGTGAGCTGCTGTCGGAAAACTGGGCTAGGCCGGATCATCCGGGCCGGAGGTCGTGAGACGTCCGAGTTTGATTAGATTTTGATGATTTTGACGACAAGGCAAGTCCTTTTCTTGTACGGGAAGTCCATACGCCTCTTATATAGATAAGAGGTGATGGTCGATTGAACAACACACAATCGAACAAATCTATCTACATTTTTTTACCTTTACTTTTCCTTCTCCATTGTTCTTCTTCTTCCTCGTTCTTCGTTCGTTCTTCTTCATTGCAGGGCGGCGAACCTCGAGGCCCTATGGGCGGTCAGGCTGACCTAGGACAGCCCATAGTCGCCACGCGCCCTGACGGGGTCCCTCCCGGGCGTGTGGGGTTTCAGGTCTACAAAAGCACCCGCCAGATTGTCTTGCGTACAGCGCTTCCGGACGGGTCTCCTTCGACGTGAGCTGCGGTGCATCACCCTCGGTGTTGGAGGTACACGGTGGCGTGTTCGTGTGTGAACACATTTTTTGGCGACTCCACTGGGGACGAGGCTTTGAACGATCTCCAGCCT